ACGACTACGAAGAAATTTAATTTGGATTTCTTTATGGAAGTTACCATTTTCCAGAGTGACATTGTTTTGAAGCTAAGCTGCTGTATACTCAGAAGTTTTTTTAATCCCTCGCAAAAACACAACTTAATTTGAACAAACATTCCATAATTGTCAGATAAAAATAGTCGATTCAAACGCAGAAAACAATGCGAATGGCGGTGTTAGAAATAACGAAGTATTCGAAGTCAGTGTCTCAATTATTCTCCAAAGCGTTCATTTTTTGTAGAATTACAATTTACGATTCTCTGCTAATTTTTATGTGTTTATAAGCCGTGCGTCCTCGGCGTCTCATGATCAAACTGATCATTTTTTTATTTCTGGTTCAGGATTACTTATTCCTACTTTTTATTAAAATTAGGACCTTCTCAAACGAATTTCATTTTCGGTAGTTTTCAATGTTTGTTGATTCATTGAAAGTGTGGCGTTGATGTTTCTTTTTTATATTGAAATGATGAAAATGAATTCCAATGACTGTTTACATCGGAATTCATTTTCACCATTCAACAATTTTAAGAACTATAAAATGCGAACTTCGAACTACTTTTAAAACATTTAATTCTGTTATCAAAGATTTAATTATGAATGACATCAACGTTTCTGAAACGAGTGAACACACTCTATGCGCGGATTTAAAAATCGACCAATAAAGATTTAACTCCCGCAGAACAATAATTCAAGAGCTGTTTTGCTTTAGAATCCAAGCTATCACCAAAGTTTCGACTTTTATTCGATAAAAACATGTTGGTGTTATCTAGACCTTTACGACTACGAAGAAATTTAATTTGGATTTCTATATGGAAGTTACCATTTTCCAGAGTGACATTGTTTTGAAGCTAAGCTTCTGTATACTCAGAAGTTTTTTTAATCCCTCGCAAAAACACAACTTAATTTGATCAAACGTTCCATAATTGTCAGATAAAAATAGTCGATTTAAACACAGAAAACAATGCGAATGGCGGTGTTAGAAATAACGAAGTATTCGAAGTCAGTGTCTCAATTATTCTCCAAAGCGTTCATTTTTGTAGAATTACAATTTCCGATTCTCTGCTAATTTTTATGTGTTTATAAGCCGTGCGTCCTCGGCGTCTCATGATCAAACTGATCATTTTTTTATTTCTGCTTCAGAATTACTTATTCGTACTTTTTATTAAAATTAGGACCTTCTCAAACGAATTTCATTTTTGGTAGTTTTCAATGAATGTTGATTCATTGAAAAGGTGGCAATGAAGTTTCTTTTTTATCTTGAAAAGATGAAAACGAATTCCAATGATTGTTTACATCGGACTTCATTTTCACCATTCAACAATTTTAAGAACTATAAAATGCGTTACAACTTCGAACTGCTTTTAAAACAGTTAATTCTGTAATCAAAAATTTAATTATGAATGACATTAACGTTCCTGAAACGAGTGAACAAACTCTATTCGAGGATTTAAAAATCGACCACTTAAGATCTAACTCCCGCAGAAAAATCATTCAAAAGCTATTTTGCAGTTTCAATTTTCAATTTGTCAAATCATCTGCTTCACGGGGAACAAAACATTTCTAAATCACTGAGTGATGTTTTTTACAGCAATTATAACAAAAACTGTGCAGTTGAAATACAAAAAAAAAACACAGTAAGTGATCACTTTACTGTTAAAAGTGAAACTAATTCCGCAGTTGATGCTGTTGAAGGAAATCGTAAAGCCAAACATAGAGCTTGGATTATTCAAGCAAAGACTTTGTATGTGAGAGGCTGGTTTTTCGTTTACAACATGAAATACAGAAATCATGCAAAAACTTTAATAATTGCAACTCGACTGGTGATAATTTCCTTGAGATCTTGGATCGCGAAATTGCACGGTTAGTTCCAAAAAAATTGGACACCAAAAGTCATAAAAAACTGGATAAATAACGAGTGACAAATTCTGTAAACAAACGAAACAAACTCCACCGTGATTAATTGCATCTTAAAAACCAAGAACCTGAAGATAAACTTTGTAAACAAAAAAAAATCGGACGAAATATGTTATAAGCAAAGCGAAGAAAAATTATTATCCAAACAAACTCAACTGCAAATCAAAAAACGAATGCCGGCAGTTCTTTAAAGTTCTCTCGGAAGTTACTGGCAAAGATTTTTAAAAAATCCAATTTGCCTAAGGCTTCTAAAAATATATGTGCTTTTGTACCAGCAATTATAAATATCTTCAATCCTTGCTTAATGCACTCCATTTTATCCGGTAGTTTCAAGTTGGCTAAAATATTACCAATTCACAAAGATGTGATCTCACATCTCGGAAATTTTAGACCCATTTCAATACTTCGCACTCTAAGTAAAGTTCTTGAGCGTTTGCTCCATAATCGCATAACTAGTTATCATGAAAAATTCGATCTTCTTACACCAAATCAATTTGGTGTCAGACAAAAATTGAGAACTACTGATGCACTAATAGAGCTATCTCAAAGCATTTGGGACAGCTGGGAGAACAAATCTAAAAATGTATTATTTTTGTATTTGAAAAAAGCGTTTGATACAGTTAAGTAATCTATCTTACTCGAAAAAATCAAAATTTTGGAATTAGAGGGAAAGTGAATGACTTGATTGAATCAAAGTTGAACGATAGAAGTCATTAAGCCTTTATAGAGCCGTTTACTTCGCAAATTGAAAACAAAAAATTTAGAGTTCCCCAAGCTTCTATTCTTGGTCCCCTACTCTTCCTCATTTACATGAATGATATTGATACGTGTTGCCACCATTTTCATACTATTATCTACGCGGAAGATACAGCTCTGATAAACAAACGGGACAATGACACGCTGAGCTGCAAATGCTTAATTGAAAACAAGTTATCACTTAAAACTGACAAAACCAAACTGATTAATTTCACAAAATCTAGAAAAATAAATTATATGAAAGTCAAAATGAGTAGGGATTCTATTGAAAACATTTAAATTTCTAAATACTAAAGACTGTACGCGAACTGAACTAGATCGCGAACTGAACTTTGTTGAGCACATAAAATTACTCAAGAAAAAACTAAGTCGTTTCTCCAGAAATTATTACCAATTAAGGAAAACCATAAATTCAAAACAACATAGCATACAGAAACCATACAGAAGTTCGATCCAAACAATAATTCAATTTGGTGTTCTGCTTTACGGAACAGCTAGTAGATTAAGATAAACTAGTTGAAAAAAAAAACGTCGTAGATTAGTACGGGTGATGTTTCGAAGGAAAAAATTTCAGTCAATAAAAAACATTGTTATTCCACATAGATAATATTCAATACAGAACTTACATCGAAATGAAGATTTGAAGCTTTCCGGCAAAATACTACGTGGCGATAAAATAGGAAATGCAATAAAACCTTTACTGAACAAAGAATATCTGGATAATCTCGCTAGTAGCCGGACTTGTTCACAAAAAAAGCTCGAGGCAAAACGCATAGACAATTGATCAATCTTTAAGTTTGCGGATTAGGTCCATCTTTAAACAATTAAATTTCATTTTTTAGAGTTATCCGGATTTTATCAATAGTCTTTCAAAGGGCAGTTGGGACCATTTTCATCAAAACTTTCTTGACAATTTTATTCTGGGCTGTTCGGATTATTTCTGATAAATTTTGTGGATTTAAATTAAGATTATTGGGCTGACTGTAGTGTTACTTTCTCAAGGCATGGGTCATTCTTTTTAAGGTAAAAAATTAGCTAAAATTACTAATGTTTGAATTATAAGAATTGAGATTTACTTTAAACTGTTTTGCTTTCTGAGGCATCCCTCGGCACATTCGTTTGAAATTTTTAGGATGCCCTCTCAAACCTATATTAATCTTAAACTAATGAACTTAATTTTGTGTATATCATTGGTTTGAAAACAATTTATTATTATTATCAAAGAAACCAAAACTATTTTTATACCGTTGACAATAAAGCTCTCAAAAACATTAGCTATTTTCAAAATAAACACGAGCTTAGACAAAAAAGGCCTTGCACTACATTCGAGACACGAAGATATGATACGTGGAATAGTCATTTTAAAAAATATGCTAATTCAAAAATGCAATTTTTTTTAAAGGCTAACATCGGCCGCCAACTTATTCTATATTATAATTTGAAATCTGAATCTGAACCTTGAGTGGTAAAGAAAAATTCAGCTGAGCACTTCAAATTTAAGTGCTCACTTTTGACAGACCGCGAATGATTCGCAAGTAAACATAGACCCTCGTTTCGTCTTCCTTTCGAAGAATTAAAAATTGATTGTTGCGCGGTATTGTAGTTCTACTAAACTTTACATTAGGTCACCCAAGAGGAACCCTTCATGCACGAAAATTATGTCAGCCAATCAAAAGGCGAAAAGAATTGACCTGCAAAATAAGTCAGTTTTGAACTGTTCAAAGGGCTCAGATTAGATAAAAATTTTGGCAACTTTGAATTTTAGAAAGAGGCGAAGCTGCGCATTGCAAACAAATGAGAAAACAAAAAGAAATTCGAGAAAACGACAAAAAGAAACGACGAAAAGAGTTAGGTTGAAAAAACTGTCCATAATAATACACTACGCTCACAAGCTCGCTTGTGTTATAATGGAGAGGTAGTTGAAGCCTTTTGGCGATACTAAAAACAAATGGAGAAAATAAAAAAGAATAACTAGAAACAAAAATCTATTTTCTTTTTCAATTTCTTTATTTTGCATCAACTTTTTTATTTTCATTTTTTTGTTGTCATTTTTTTATATTTTACTTGTGTGATTTCTTTCTATGAAATTGTATTTAAAACCGAGCGCGTGAAGAATGGATTAAGAGACAATACTCGACAGGTAGAACTGCCTTTTTGATGTTCTCTCGAGTGAATTCAATGAATTGTGATATAAAAATCCAATGAATCACTCGAACACGAATTTGCTATCGAAGAATATATATGGGAATATTGCAATCTGGCATTCTCTACATACACGTTTTCGTATTTAGGCATCTGGCTACAACTTATGGCGAAAAATAAATTAGCAGTCGACCAACACAAACTACTCTTTGTACACAAAAAAAATCATATGTACGCTCTTCAAGATGATTTAAATAATTCAACATTTCATAATTCAAGAAAATCAATAATTTCAACAAACGCAAAAGGAAAATGTTTTCAAATCAAGTTTATTCAGCGTCAATCAGCTTTTTCTCTCTTTTTGTTTCCTCCTCTCTTATTTTAAGATCATCAACAGCCCGGTTAAGATTGAAACCCCGTGGATACTTTTTTCTTGAAGATCGCCTCACGTCAGCTTCATCATCCTCGGCCAAATTCTGCAGTCGAGTTTCTTCAAGTTCAAGTTCAGTTTCAACTGCCACTTGAACAAAATCGTTCAAGTTGTTATCAACCGTCTCGTGGATATCTGCGATTTTTTGTTCCATATCTTCAGAAGAAATGTTCGAAGCCATAGAAGCATCAACAAAGAGCGCTTTTGCAGTTCGTGAAAGATGGCCTAAGTAACATGCCACTGACTCGTTCATATTTGACGTTTGATTCAATGTTTTCTCAAGTGCCGCTGCTCCGGATTTTTTCAGCGTCTCGTTATGAATTTTTAGAACAGTCTCGTCCATTTCAACTTCTTGGGCACTCTGAAAATATGTTGCGATTAGAATCCAAAATAAGAAAAATCGTAAGCAGACGTCATTTTATTATCATTCAATTTCGCTAAATTTTCGTAATATCATAAAATTTTCGTATATTCTTTTCCAATTAGGGTGATCGAATTCAGTAAAAAAACCTAAATGAGAGGCAGTTAAGTCAAATTAATTTTCAGAAAAAGCTGATTTGAATTTAGATCTCCGTCTTGTGTCATTCGTAAATTTCGTAATCTGAAAAACAGAAAAATTCTGGTTTCTTAAGATTTTTCTAGAATCAAAATCATGACCAGGGGCGGATTTAGGGGGGGGGGGGGGGGGGGTTACGGGGGCGGACGCCTTCTCTTAGGGATTCGACCCCCTGCCGCCCCAAAGGGTCCCACCTTTAGTACTTTTTAAGAAATCCATTTTTGGCCTACCTACCCTTAAAATTTTCCAAAGGCGCCAATATATACTGACTTTGAGGGGGAGTGCGCGACAAAAAAAACGCGATTTTTTTGTCAAAATTTTCCAAAAAAGTGCCCAAAAACGGTTTTTTTACCTCTTTTTTCAAAAATTTGCTTGCGGCGCAGAAAATTTTGCCAAAACAGCGTCTTTTTAGTTCTTTAGGACAGCTCGGAAAATCAATTTGGTCGACCTAAAAAAAAAGGTCGTCAAGCCCCTGATCATGACTCAAAAGGGCTTCAATATGTTCGGTTACATAGCAGTATTTATACAACCGCGTATTCAGACTCGTCAGTATTTAGACAATTACTGTTTCAACCAATCAGAATCGAGACAAGAAATTAATAAATAATTATTATTTATTTTGGATTATTTATGTCTTTTCTCGATTCTGATTGGTTCATACAGTATTTGTCTAAATACTGACGAGTATGAATACGCGTTTGTCTAAATACAGGCTGCACTCCAATATGTTCCCACGCCTGAATTCCTATGATTATTCTTTGAGCGAATCAAAAATTTGGGATCGATACATTTCTTATAAACTTTAAGTTCGTTTGAGCAATTCCAAGGTCGTAACAGAATATGCAGAACAAACCAAATTCGATGGAACCCTTAATCTGAGATTTGGCACTGGGGCAGCTTGAGCAAAGAGGATCAGCGGATTGATGGGTTCACGCTTTCTCTTGATCCCATCAATCAGATTTTCATTCCAGTTTTCGAGAAAATGGAAATAATCCAAACAAATAGGTCGAAAATTCTCTCCATTGAAAATTTCGTAAAACGTCCGGTTAAGTAAAAAGAGACTAAATGAATATCCAGGCACCCAGGGGAGTAACCAGTCGCTCAACCAGTCTCTCCGTTGATACCACTTTTTTGAAAATCGGTAAAGTTGTTTTCGAGAAAAGTTTTTTAAAAATCTTGATTTTCTTAATTTCTTTACCTAGTGGTTGCAAAATTCTGTTGTACTTGCATAACAACCCGCTATTCTTGTTTCCATAGCATAAATCAGCCTTGGGACTTAAATAGGTGAAAACTCAAATGGTCCATAAAAAACATCATTAAAAACACCCCTGGTTCAATTCTCTCACCATTTCACAATCTTCTGCATCTTCAGTTTCTTCCTCTTCAGGAGCACAATTCTCCTTATCACTCTGATGACACACTGCTTCTTGGTCATTGCTTCTACACACAAAAATATGATCATTAGAAACTAATCGATTTAACATCCGATTCACAGTACTTTTTAGAAAAACGTATCAAAAAGTATCAAAAACATACAAATTTAAAAAATACTCGAATTAAAACAGTGAAAGATTAAAAAATCAGCTAAGGATACTTGATACTTTCCGCTTTTTTTGTCTAGCAAAACTATAGATTTCGAAAATTTACAATTGAGTGACAAAAATTAGCTATGCAGTATATCTCTAAATACGTCACAGATACATGCAAGTAGCAAGCCTAGTTCCCGAGCATAGCATAAAAAGATATAGAGCACTGGACAATTTGTAAACCGGAACAAGACTGCTCGTATCTGAGGGCGAAGCCCAGAATGTTCCGACTGCATTTTAAGGCCAATTGAAAACAATTTTGGTTGAATAACCGAAAGAAAATAAAAACGAAAAATTTTTCTTCGTTTTGTCTTCATTTATCCCCCATACGCAAGTTAAAATACAATGAATTTTTAACGCCCCTTATTAAATTAATACAAAATTGCTCATATCAGAGCAAAGCCCTGAATGACCCGACTACCCATCAACTGGTTTTAGGCTGATAAGTTATTGAAGTGTTATAAAATTTATTAAAGTGTTAACAACTGAGTCGTAGACGAAATTATTAAGAACAATAAGCTTGTCTCAGTTAAATTTGGAACGATTTTATAGTGCAGGATGATTCACCAGGCTAAATAATTCGCATTACTCTTTCAGCATCAAAGCTTAAAGCGAGCAGTTTAGTAGGTCTCGTTTCAGACTGACCATGCAGTCACACTAATAGAGCGGTGTGCGAGCACGGTAGGGCTCCGGTAGGTCATGGGATCGAGCTCCCAATCGCGCTATTAGTCTTTTTGAAATTGGTCTGATTAAAAACATCGCCCAAGCATATATTCCCCACATTCTTCTAAAGTCGGAACGGAAAGGTGAATAACTATTTCAAAACAGCATGCCTCTTTATTCATGAATAATCTTTCCGAGAAATGGTTCACAATGTTTCGAATCACGAACATTTTTGAAAGCTGGATAGAAATCAAGTTTTCATTTTCGCTGTGATGATTCAGCTGAACTAAGCGAAAGAAAAAGGCGACGGTGATATGATTCTCACTACCTAGGTAGACAATTTTAAACAGAGGCCAAGCAGAGTTTCGCAACACTTGCAACGCAAAATAACACATTGCGCTATAAAATAGTAATGCAAAAACAGACAGCAAAAAAAACTGACACAGAAGCGAAGCGGAACTTTTAACCACCTGCGATATAACGCAAGTATAAAAATTCCATTTTAATTGGCAGAAAAGCATGAGGCCCAAATCAGATAGGGCTTCCTCGATTTTAATAACTTCATTTCCTACGTTTTTTTTTCGTAATTGCACAATTTGATAAGGGATCATTTATCCATATTGAAAGGCAAGTTGTTTCTAACGGACCGGTTGTACAGCACATTCAAATCACTTTGAATATCTATTGAGCATACAACCACGCTATGAAATTTGGCGTCATTGGCAAAAAGTAGGGGAAAGGATTGTGCGCACAACTTCGGAAGATCATTAACAAAAACGCGAAACAGTATGGGCCCCAAAATACTCCATTGCGGGACACCGCCAGTAACTTTTATTTGTTACGAGTAAATTCCATTTATGCACACAACTTGTACACGATTTGTCAGATATGATTCGATTAATTTCACGACATTGTTTCAGATGCCAGTTTCATAGAGCTTTTTCAAAAGAAAGCAGACCATGACCCACTCTTTCAAAAACCTTACTGTAGTCAGTAAAGATTATATCAACATCAATTTGACTTTCAATGCCCTGGGTATACTTTTGCAATAAATGATTAATCGGAGAATCGATAACCGCCTTTTCCGTAAGCCAAACTAGGCTGCATGAAAAAAGTAAGGTAATGATAATAGCGTCGAGTCGTCTAAAAACAATCTTTTGTAGGATTTTAGAATTTATTGAAAACCAAGTTACCGGTCTGTACTTTTTAACATTACATTTATCACCTTTTCTAAAGAGTGGACTTGTAATTGCTTGTTTCCAGTCATTTGGAAAACAGCTGTTTGTAAAATTCATCTGAATAACTGTGATAAAGAATGAGAAAGGGTAATGCACATTTTTTTTATACAGTATCGGTGGAATTTCGACAAGTACTTTACTCTTGGTTATGTCCAAGTTCATGCAAATTTCAATTATTTCCTTTTCGAAAACAAATACAGTAGTAAGCAATTTTACGCAATCACTGCCACTGTCCCCTTCAAAGATTGTTGTCGACTTTGTATACATAGACGAGAGGAATATTGAAAATAGTTCTGCTTGTCCTGGTCGTCGGAGGAATTCTCGTAAATTATTTTCCGCGGAGATTTGACTTCCTTAATCATTTAAACCAATTAAATAATTTTGACGTCACTTAATCTGCAGACAGCTTTTGTCCTTTTCAACTTTGTCAATTTCCGCACTACTATCGACTAAATCTATTAATCTTGTGACCTTGGCATGAAATTCTGGAAAATTCTTCCGCGCAGTTTAATTCTTCCGCGCATTACTTTATGTAATGCGAATTTTTTTTGCTGCGTTCTCCACGGTGGCAGCGACATTCTGTGTGCTGTTCTCCTTGGTACATCTTTTGAACTTTATTGGGGACTTAAACAAATTTCGTTTTATTTAGAGTTTCTCGAAATTTTCCAAAATCGCCAATAAAGTAGTCATAAATCAATTTTTTCCAGTAATTGTGCTCAAACAAGGACGATATTTCAGCGTTAAGCTGAACTTTCATAAGGTAGTGAATGTAGTGTCGCTCTTCCTTGTTTATAGATTTTGAAATGAAAACCCGATATGACTCGCCATTGAATGTTGGTTCGAATACTTGGTGCACGTGCTAATATTTTATCAGCTGTATAAGTATTTGAGAACTTAACAAGAATTTGCTTTGCTCGAGGGTTTTGTGGATTGTATTTGCCAAGCCTACGGAAACCAGAAATGTCTTCTTTTCCAACACCCAGTTAATGTACAACATCAAATAATTGTTTTTCATCGTGTTCTAAAGCTTCTTTTCGGTAGGGATTTTTGCGGGCATCGCTTATTTTAGGCAAACCGCTGAACTTTAAAAATTTAGCGTTTTTTAGGTACTTGTAATGTTTTAATTTCGACTTGCTTGAAGTCCCGTCGGCTTGTTGTCCTAGACCCGGGTAGGCAAGCGTCTCTTAACACAAACGTCGTGCGTTCAAACCTCGCTTTGGTTAGACGTCGACAAGTATAACATTTTTTCTATCGCATTTAGCATATAACTAAGAGTGTTCGAAATATTTAATCAATTTTATTGTCGCACATACCCGTCATCCTCGTCATCCCAATCCAATACTTGTTCCATTTCACATTCATTGGAACCATATTTTCTCTCCAATTTGGCGATTAATACTTCGCGTTTAGTGGCCAATTCTTTCATATGCTTTCTAAGTTGTTGTAGAGCTTGCGCATCCATTTGAAGTACCTGGAAAAATCCTCATTTGAGTGATTATAAAGTTGATTATCAGGTTGTAATTTGACTGATTATGGCGAGAAAGCCGAAAACGTTTTCGATCAAATTATTAACATTGATCCCTATTTTTTCTACTATGGTTATTAAGTTAATTGGCATTTTGATAATGAGTTTAAAAAATTCCATGGCAATTCAATAAATTTTACAGTTGAGAAATTTCAATTAATTGCAACAGAATTTTTTGGAACTCGTCATGAAATTGGCAGACAAATTTTCTCATAGTACATAACCCACCAAAAAAAACAGAAGATCGAAAAATTGAGCTGTAAACAAGGACAACAGATAGAATAATGAGAGAGAGAGAGATAGTTAAATTAGAACATCTCATATTCTGAAAGTGACAGGGAAGCAATTCTCCTGGAACTTATCCTAAATCCTTCATTATTATTAATATTATATGAGAGAATGATTTAAACGTAAATTATAAAACTTCAGTCTATGGAGGATTTCTAAGATATTCTTAGATTTTCAATAAACTTAGCCTAATTGTTGTGATAATCTTATGTGCAAGTCGGTCATATGAAAGAAGTTATAGTCATTTTTGGTGTAAATGGATTTTTTAAAATTTTGAATGGGCTCGTCATGCTCAAGTTTTTCGCGATAACTAAAACAGAAAGTCATAAAATCAGAACAGCCAAAATTTAAAATGCGGGAAAGTTAACAAGATCAACCTAGAGTCAAATTGCTTTTCGCCATTTTCCAAATAACAATCAATTTGAAGAAAACTGTCTTGTTCCTGATAATGAGCATCAAGAGTGGATTCGTGAGTGCTACGCTTGGCGCAAAAGAAAACCTTGATTGGGAATGTCGCCGACTCAAGTGACCTAATGTTCTGAAATTTATTGAAACCTTGCGCTGAATATATTATTAGAATCGAACATCTTTGCAAAAGCATGCAATGTGTCAAAATATCAATCCGTTTCACACAATGTTAATTCTGAAACGACAGTAGGACATGACAATTAGTTAACACAAGTTACAAATACAATACGTAAAAACAAAAAACAGTAAATGACAAGGGTCCTTCTACTCGAACATCCCCCCAAGTCGTTGGAGGCGCAATAAACGCCTTGGTGGCATGGTGCGCCTTTAACGACTGACACATACGAGGACCCTGATTTAGGATTGGTGATGAAGGCGCCTGTCGTCCATGCATCGTCACCCCCAAACTTGGGAGGCGGGCGGCGGATCCTCTTCGGTCTGCCTAAAACCGCATCGAGCGCAGGGTCAGCGACTTGGCCTGGTACTGGCGATGCCACTGGGTGTGATGGGGGTGGGTGGGTGGATCGCTGGCTTTCGGTTCCGATGATGTAACGTTGGATTTAGCAGGAGGGTTGACGATGTCAGATGCGGTGCGGCCGGTTCAACCGATTTCGTGTACTTTGTCCACTGGAGCTGGAGTGGCGGACTCCTCGATCTCCTGAACACCCTGTTCGCTGATGAAATTGTGTTGGTTTCCTTAGGGCGTCATATAATCATCGGGTAACGTAGGTGTTTCCAGAGAGGGTGAAGAATCAGTGTCGAGTGGCTTCCGATGTGGAAGTATGGAACGGAATTCTCCTTCTGCGCGGACCTCGAAACGCTGGAATTTCTTCAGGAAGCGGAATTAGCATAGAGTGAGACGGCAAGAACCGTCCACCCGGATGGTGTATTGGTCATTGGCACCTATCTGCCACTCTGGTTCTGAGTCGGCGACATTCCCTGAGTCGGTGACTGCCACTCTGGTTCTGAATCCTAACTGTGTCTTCTATAAACAGAGGAGCAAGCTTGCGTGTATTGCTGTCTAGTCTATCGACCTGCTTTGCCAGCCTAGCTCGAAGAGCATTTTCCTTTGCTCGCCATGTGTGCTTCCAATGATGATCGACCGGGCTGGTTTCATCAAAAACGGAAACTCTGTTTGCAAAAAGAGATGGTGCACGAAGAGAGTCACGAAGAGAGCGACCGAGAAGCACCTGGGCAGGGGACAGGCCGTTGTCACGTTCTGGTGTGTTTCGGAGATGGAGTATGCCACGCATAACGGCATCTGTGTTTATGTTTCCGCTTTTGTCCATATTGTCCACAAGAAGACGTTTCATGGCCTTTACCGCAACCTCTGCACGGCCGTTGGACTGGGAATGATAAGCTGAACATAGTCTATGGGTGATACCTCACCGCGACATGAAATCCTTCATGATGGGCGACGTGTATTCCAGTCCGCCGTCACTGGACAAGTGCTCTGGTACATCAAATTGGGCAAACAATTCCCGCAGCGCTTTTATCAGACCAGCGGCTCCGGTATCTGCGGTGGCTGCGCTAGCTTGTCTCAAGTCAGGCCAATTGTTAAACCTGTCTACCGTTAGGAGGTAATTCTTTCCCCGCACATTGAAACAATCGGTTGCAACTGCCTGCAAGGGTAGCATCGCGCCAAATGGCTTGGCGGCTGGTAGACGCGGTTGGCTGGGTGATATGGAGTCACATGTGCGACACTGTTTATGAACCTACTGGATGTCCGTGGTAATTCCATGACAAACTATCGACGCGTTAGCTCGGCTCATCATCTGAGTGACCCCCCTGGTGAGACCTATGCAGATGCTGGCAAACTTCACTTCTGAGGCTTGCCTGAATGACAGTGCGGTTTCCGTATGTGATGACTCTATCTAATGCCGAGAGACTGTCTCGAAAACGCCAAAAACCGAGGAGATGAGGAAACATTAGCTGGGGCGTGTCTGGTAAGCCATTATTGGCCATGTTCATAAGTTGGAGCATGTGAATGTCTCGACTAAATTTCATCTCGCACGCGCTGCCAGCCACGTGACAGCATGTAACTGGGCCAAGCCTGGCCTGGCCGCGGCTTTAATCTCTTCCTTGGCGTGATCGATGTCATCGACAACCCTCATGGCGTTTAACGCAGCAATAAAGTGAGATTCGTTTTCACGTCCTCGGCTATGTCATTTGGGCGTCGCGAAGTTGCGACTGGCGCAGGGATCTGGAAGCCGGGCACATATGATATCTTGAATCTCTACAGCATCGTCTTCTCCTTAAATGAGAGAAGTCGGTTGTTATCAATCTCATCTAGTGCGCGGTTGCCCAGAAGCTTGACAAGCGGCGGGTGGTCCGTCTGAATGTGGAGGTCATTGCATCCCCAAGTGAAAAATCGTGGGTCTACTAGAGCCCATTTGACAGCAAGGGCCTCGCCTTCCACTGGCCAGTAGTTCTGTTCAGCTTTCTTGAGGAAGCGGGATCCAGCCAGGGTTATCCTCCAGCCATTGCTGGAGCATCCCGTAGTAGTCGAAGAACATGCACAGTACTTTTGGTACAGGAAATATCCGATTCCGGCCTTAGAACCGTGCGGACTGAGCAGGGTGATTCGGTTGGGGTCAAATAATTTCACTCCAGTTTCGATGGCCTTAATGATTTCATCCTTGGACTGCTGGAGTGCGTTCTCCAGTGCGTCGTCCCACTTGAATCTGGACTTTGGAGTCATTAGTGGCTTAAAAAGGGTCATGAGTGCTGTCGACTGCGCGTAGTGCGACACTTGGTTGACGAGTCCAAACTAAGCCTTTATGTTGGAAACGTTTGTAGGTCGCGGAAATTTCTTTATGGCGTCCAGGTACTTTGGCCGTAGTTTCAACAACACGCAAATTCAACAACACGCTCGCAAAATTGGAACTTTTTAGGATTTACGATGATTTCGCTGTTACCAATTAGCGTCAGATAGTCAATAACTCTCCACCCAAGTACTTCCAGCAACTCGTCCCATAATAGTGCGTCGTCCACGCATTTAATCTTCCTGGGGAAGGTGGCTATAATATTGTCATACCGTTGGTTTTAGCCATCCCCCGAGGCTAGGTAACCTTGAGGTGCCACTTTATATTGGTATCTGCCGTATTCCGTGATAAAGGTAGTAAAATGCCGATCCTCCTCAGCGAGTGGAACTGAGTGTTAGCCATTCCAGGCATCAGTCACAGCTCTCCATGTACCCGCCGGTACGATGCGTGCTTGTTTAAAAGGAGGAACAGTGTGATGTGTCTCCCTAACACAGTGGGTGTTTAGTGGGCGCATGTCAACAGTGGAACGTGGCGTGCCGTCCTGTTTTGGCACGACGTGCATTCGTGCTTGCCATTTTGTAGGCACTCCCGAAGGAACCTTTTCGATTATGCCCAGAGCCTCGTCCTGGTCGAGCTAGGCTTTAACCTGCTCACGCCATGCACGGGCACGGTAACTGCCGTATACCATATGCACGGCTGGTGAGGGCATTTATTGAATGCAGACGCCGAGAATGTTTTGAGAAGCCATTCTTTCATCTTCGGGATTATTTCCGGGACCTGAGCAAACGGGAGTTTCCCAGGGCGGCCCTGTGGGTGGTGGTGAATTGGGTAGCCACAAGGAGCATTACCAGATGTCGGTTGCGCTTCTATTCCAGCGGAAGCAGTGGAGCAGATAAGGGAAAAATTGGCGTTAATGATACCCAATTCGTTCATGGCTTGGCGACTTAGGTAGAACAGGTCAGTAAACTCTTTCACATAACCCAGGGCCGCTGTTGTAGCCTTCCGGCCTGTGGACGGTTCGTGCCAGATGTACTCAGGAATAGGGCACCCAGGAAATCGATGTTTTCCCCATTGATGGCCTGCATTCGCTACTTGACCTGGACAAGGTCGGATGTATTTAAGCCGAGACGATCTAACACCTTTTTACCCATAAGACATGACTGCGCGCCTGTATCGGCCACAATTGACAGAGTTGTAGGCGACAAGTTGGGGTGCTTAAGACGTAAGTGGCTGTAATCTGACGCGTCAATAGAGACACGCAACTTGACAATTGGATGTGGCATCGATGCTGCCTGTTTCCAACCGGATGTGCCGTCGAATATGTAGTTTGAGACAACAATAGCCTGCTGTGCCCTCGCATGATCAACACCAGCGGCTGTTACAGGATGCGCCCATGTTGGACTTGTGTCTTCACTGACCGCGACCCCAAACATGTGGAAGAAAGCGCCCGCCTATATTTTGGCCTTTCTTATTGCGGAATTCTGATAGTTTTTTCTTCCAGCAAATCTTGCAAAACTTGTCAGTGACAATAACGTCGGTCCCGGCCACTGTTCTCACCCGATTCATCAAAAACTCGCCTTTACATGTCTGGCATTT